CGGGCCCCGCGCCGCCGCCCGCGCTGCGCCGGCTGCTGCGCCGCTTGCGCCCCCCGCGCTTGCCGCTCGGCGGCTGCTGTCGGTCCGGCTCCTCCTCGCTGTTGCTCAGGCTGTCGTCGGCCGGCGAGACTGGCGAGCTGGACACGTCCTGCATCATCTCTCAGGTGGCAACGCGCGGCCTCGCAGGCCCGGGGCAGAGGGGCGGCCCGGGAAAAGGAGGAGAGCCGGGCGCCTCAGCCCGCCAGCTTCCCCCGCGCGCGGCGCCGGCCCGGGCGGTGCGGCCCGCCGAAGAGGGAGCGGGAGGAGGGACGGGGAGGATCTCCGCGGGGAGGGCGCGCGGGGGAGGCGGGGAGGGAGGCGGGAGGGGGAGGGGACGGTGTGGATGGCCCCGAGGTCCAAAAAGAAGGCGCCCAACGGCCGCACGCACACCCTGCTCGGCCTCTTGGAAACGCTGCCGGTGCCGGCGAGCTCGCGAGGTGTCTGGGAGTTGGACGAAAGCTGCAGACTTGGAGGCTCTTATACCTCCGTGCAGGCGGAAAGTTTGGGGGCAGCAGTGTCATTGGCCTGACGTGGGGAGGAGGGACTTTTCGAAGTTTTATAGGAAAGTTTCCGCTTTTCAGCGCCGCTTCCCCGTCCCCACCCCCCCACCCCCCCTTCCTCAGGGTCTAACAATTCGTTCTCCCAAACCATTCAAAAACGACCTGGTTCGGGCGGCCGGCCCCTCTGCCCGCCTCCTTGCTGCCCTCCCCCTTCCCTCTCCGCCGCCCTCCGCAGGCGGGCGCGGGGCGATTTCCTTCCGCGTCGGAGCGCGCGGGCCGCGCCCCCGCACCCGAGCGCAGCCCCGGAAAGCGGCCGGAGGGGACCTTTCGGCCCCGGTGTCAGTCCCTCTCGGAGTGGTTGTGACAGCAGCGGCAGCAACAGCTTCGACGCAGTGGGTGATGTCTCATCTCGCCCCTGTACCCTCTAGGTCCGTGGGGCCGCTTTGGGATTGCTGGGGATGGGGGCAGTAGCAGGATAACTGGCAACCGCGGAGCTCCCCCCAGTAGCCAGGTAGATGGGCCCCCAGAGTCGCAAAGGCCAAACCACCACGGCTGGCCCTGAGGTCGTGGGCGTTTTTGAAGACGTGGCTGCGGCGCGGGGACTGCGGATCTGTGCCCCGGCCTGCTCTCACCCCTCCCTGAGAAGCATCTGGGCCTTCCTTTTCCCTCCACAGTGACCCAGTCTAAAAGCTTCCTGCCACTCAAAAGACTGCACCTCCGACGGTGTTAGAGACAGTTCGTTTTTTCTCCGAAGTCAGTCCTGTCCTTGGAGAAGGCAGCGGGGCCGGAGAGGGACAGCGCAGCGTCTTCGCTGCGGCCCTGGTCTCCCAGCCCAAGGTGGAGGACCCTGTGGCCATTTCATCCCTACCCTACTCTCAAATAAAGCCCCACATTGTGACCTCTAAAGGTAGGCTCAAAGGAGAGTGAGAGTGCGATGGGGTTCAAGCCCCCGAACACGCGCGTGGCTGACGGTTGTGAGACGCACCTTCTCCACCCTTCATTCCTAGGAGGTGGAGTGGACAGTTATGCTTCGTGTGACCCAAACGCGTTCCAGTTACTCGGACACTTTTGTATTTTAAGCCATTCTAACGAATACGTTAACAACAACGAGCCCCGGAGCCCCAAAGAGGGTGTTAATGCAGATTCTGGCAAATAGGAGGCAACAAAAGTTGGTGGGCTGGAAGGGAAGCCAGGGGAGAAGAGAACCTCCTCTTTGCAATGCCAAACTTGTTTCTCTTTTTTGGAACGAGTCGGGATAGAATAACCATTTCGTGTTCATCCGTTAAGTTGCAAAGCAAACTAGAGGTCAAAAGCAGTAGTCGGTTTTCAGGGGGGTAGATTTAGGGGTGCTGAGGTTGTGTGCCCTGCGCAGGCCGAGCTCCACTCATGCTCTCCCCAGACTGGCCTGTCAGAGGAGAATTAGCTCAGCAAAAGTCTCCATTCCGGCCTGACCAGGGTAGAGGCTGTGGGTGTGGGGAGGAGGAGGAGGGAGCCCAGGCAACTGGAGGGCAGGCTATGTAGCTTTGCCTCCCTGAGGCTCACAGTTTCAGTCCGGAAACCCTGGGATCTGGAGCGCCTGGAGCTGGCTGAAGGGCTCAGACTTCTGAGGGGAAGTGAGGGCTAGAGGCATCCCTCTCTCCCGTGGGGTCGAACAAGGCTGTGCTTTCTTGGGAGGGGTGACTTGCAGGATTTGGCTATCACCATTTTTACAAATATGCAGAAACAATGACCACAGCGTGCCAACTGGCCTGCCCCGAGAGTCACCGCCCTATTTGAAAAATGAGATCCTGTCTGAAAATTAAGGATATCTCCACTTACAGTGTGCAGGCAGGTATCCTTAAAACGAAGCGCACTGTGATAAGTCACCCTTTTGTTTACATCTTCTGCCTTTAGGATTTTATCTCTTGGAAGCTGAGAATAAGGCAGAAATTCTGCCACACTCTACCAAGTGTTCTCTTTTATAAATGCGAGTTGCCGATTATTGCACAATTTTTATTTGAAGGTGGCTGCAGAAATCTTAAAAATTTTCCACCTTTACCTCTCTTTTTAAGATCAATCTCAAATCTTAATTTTGTTTTTCTTTTCCCTTTAGTGGAATCCTTAAAACTAAAGAGATGGCTTTTTCCTTTGTGGCTATGGGTAAGCAAGACAGGAAAGTGTGGGCAAAGTGTAAAGGGAAACCTTACCTGACCAGGGGGATTTGGGGTTGGGGGATGGAAATGAGGGCAGAGGAGGTGGAGGAGAAACCAGGTCCACAGCAGTGCAGGAGCCAGGGATCATTAGCCAGCTGGACTTGGAAAGTCATCAATCTCCAAGACTGGTTCTTAAACCCGTGAACCCAACCCTATTCTGGGCACTAAACTTGTAGGGGATGAAGAATGGCTGGCCATTGGGTACCAGGGATCCCTGGGGCTGAGGCTGTGCTCTCTTGCTCTCCATGCCAGGATGCTTACAAGAGAGTTTAAAATGAATGACCTAACCAGAACCGTCCCAGCATGGAATCTTCCTGACAGAGTCACAATGAATGACTTTAGTTCTGAGAAGAAATTTCTCTTGAACTCTTCCAAGGAGTGGAGGTTGAGGATGAGAGGGGTTTTGAGTGCCTACAGGTTACTTTTTGAGCAGAGGCCGTGCATTGCCAAATGAATTACCTCTCAAAATATCTGGGGCTTGATACTCCCCACTTTGCAAACTGTAATATTTCACGGCCGGATTGTCCCACTCTGTTCATCTATAGGTGTATTTTCCCTAACATTTTATCTAACAATTTTCTTGTCCACACTTGCTGGGGAAAGCAGACTTAGTTCGAAAATCCTAATTTCAGGCTCTTAAAAACAGTTTTAGAAATTTCCCTTTGGGGCTGAACTCAGCTTGACTTGAAGGACGGTAGTGGAGAACTACCTTCTTTGGGAATACTGGATTAATTGGAATTAAATCATTTTGTCTACTTCTAAAATAAATTCCCTGAAAAAAAATTAACTGAAAACAAAAAAGTTTTTCTTTTGCACTCAGATAATTCAAAACGAGCTTTGTTTTCAAAACTGCAAACTTGGCATGTTCGCAGTCCTTCCTGAGGAATGTGAATGTGTGCTGTGTTGAAAATTGAAAAAAAACTACTGTTAGAAGAAACAAAGTTAGGAATCTCATACCGAGTGTATGCAGTAAGTATGTATGTATGTGTATTCTTCCAGTTTGACTATATATGCACTGGTATTCTCTTAACAATAATCATTTATAAATACTTTTAGAGAAGGAAAAGAAACATACATATGCTATAGAATTGGTAGCAAGATAGGAAATTTTGGAGTTGGATTTGCACAAAAGGGGAGTGTTTGAATCTGTTCCTACTCTTCTTAGTCTTTGGATGACGTACCACCTGTAGATTGGCTAGAGTTTTGTGAAATCATTTCTCTGAATTGCATGAATGAAGCACAGGAGAGTTCACACAGAAGGGGGCGCAAATTGGAGAAGGCTGCCGTTGAATGAGATTGTACATCTTAGATTTCATCTTGTTTTGAACACTCCACAGGGATTGCCTAGTTTGATATTGAAGTAAGAGAATTTTATCAAAGTGGAATATAAAGTTTGTGTCAGCACAAGTGACTTCCATAACTGTGTGAAAGCAGACTCTTTCTCAGCAACACAGGCAGCCTTCATGATGTTTGAACACCTTGCCCTAAATAAGAGAGCATTCTCTTTCTTTTAAGGATAGTTTAATTCATGAATTTAACTGATTCTATATTTCTCCTTCTGAACCCCTTTAAGGAACTAAAATTATAAAATGTGAAACTTTCAATCCAGAAATAAAATGAAAAAGAATAAGGCATAAGAAGTTGAGTTGCCAAGAGCACCTCAAATGAGCCAATCAAATTTTCAAATAATCTTTAAAATATCTGACATTCTGCATTCAAAATGAGGATAAAGTAAAGAAGCATAATATGCTGAACTCGTATGTAGAGAGGAATCCGAGTGTGGAAAGTATGGAGTCTTGAAGAGCCTCCCCCCCCCGCCACACACACACCTTTATTGACTTACTGGATGTGCAGGCTAGAGAGGTTGTGTCCCATCTTTGCTGCCAGTTAACCTTGGTGAAATACACTCTCACCTATTTTGGGGAGCTGCTGGAGTAACTGAAGAAATAATGGAAGAAATACGTAGTTATTCATAGAGGCTTTTATCATGGCCATAGGCTTCTTACTTAGTAAGCATTTTTATCTTCTCTTTTTCATTATCAAGCAATTTAAATCTAAATCTAATGGTTTATATTTTGTGTTTTTCCAGATCAAGTTGCTTTTCTGATTACTCATGACTTTCATCTCTCTACGCTTCAAGGGATTTCCTTTTTTCACAAATGGCTTTTCCTGAAGCCTTAAGTCCTATTTCCATTGTTTTGATTGATTCTTCCTGCACAAAACATGTTGTTTGTGCCAGTGACCACAAGAGGACACAATTTCCTAGAGAACTTTGTTTTAAAAGAAACGTACCCAAGAAGACGAGTGACAAAATAGCAAAAATACTGCACAATCTGTGACTGTCATTTTGGGTATGCCTATTTGATTTATGTTACTTTTATTAATTAAAAAATATACATGAGTTGGCATTCAAACCTTAGGTTTTT